GCTCTTGGTTTTGGTTGATACCCTTTATCAGGTTAAGAAATGCCCTTGTATTTTCAGCTTGCTAAGAGTGTTTACATGAGAGGATATTGAAATTATATCCAATACTTCTTTAATTCCTACCATGTGCCTGGCCCCAATCTACCTTTGCAAGGTAGGAGACATGTAAGACATGGGCCCTGTCATCAAGAAGCAAAGCAAAGTCCCCACTGGGGAAACCAATCCTCACACATAAATCAGTTTGGTTATACATGACTTTGTATAAAGGAAGATGGTGCAGAGAGAAGGATAGAAAGTGGGATGGGAGGAGGAGGCAGTGACTACACAACTGAAGGCTTCATGGAGAGTCAGGACTTGAGTTGGACCCAAAGAATTTTCCAAGTTGAAGGGAAGAGGGCATGCTCAGAGGAAGGAAGACATGAGCACAAGCCCAGAGCTGGAAACCTGCATGTGTATGTGTTAGCCTGATAGCCGAGCTTTGTAGAGCTGAACTGCTGGCCATCTTGTCAGAGAAGGGCCCTGCTTGCTCCTGCAGACACCTGCACTGCACCCGCAACTACATCCACCTGAACCTGTTTGCATCCTTCATCCTCCGAGCTCTGTCCGTCTTCATCAAGGATACAGCCCTCAAGTGGATGTACAGCACGGCTGCCCAGCAGCACCAGTGGGATGGGCTCCTCTCCTACCAGGTGTGTGGTCATGTTTACGAGGGGCCTGAGGAGGGATGGATGGTCAGGGAATTCCTGCTTCCCCCACCCCACCCAGGCCTGGGGCAAGAAAAGGCAAGACCTACCCACCCTGACCTCAGGGAGCCTCCAGTCTGATGAGAGAGGCAGCCCGCCATGGAGAGCTCCTAGTCTGAGGAAGGAGACACAGCCCTGAGGTTCAGGAGCCCCCAGTCTGATAAGAGAGGCAGTCCACCATGGAGAACTCCCAGTCTGAGGAGGGAGATATTGCCCTGCCTTAAGGAGTTCTCAGTCTGACACAGGAGTGGTCTTTGGAGACAGATCTGGGTTTGAATCCCAGCTCTGCCACTCAACAGCTGCATTGTTTTGGGCAAGTCGCTTCACTTCTCTGATGTCAATTTTTTCATCTATATGGGGATAATATTTGTTTCTTCCACTCAGGTTAGTGAAGATTCAGTGCTCAAAAGCAGGTAAAGTTCTTAGTACTAGCCCTGGTCAGATGATATTAGGTTCTCATCCTCCATTTGCCCTGGACAGGATAGCAGCTGGGGCAGGACAGGGAGGGGGGGTCAAGGGAGGCAGGGGGCAGAGCTGTTGTCCCCTATGGACCATTCCTCTGCCCCCAGGACTCTGCGGGCTGCCGCCTGGTGTTCCTGCTCATGCAGTACTGCGTAGCGGCCAATTACTACTGGCTCCTGGTCGAGGGAGTGTACCTATACACGCTGCTGGCCCTCTCAGTCTTCTCAGAGCAGCGCATCTTCAGGCTCTATCTGAGCATAGGCTGGGGTAAGACCTACCATCATTCACCTCCCTTTCCTCCACCCGGGACCTGTGGAAGGGTGGGAGAGGGGGAGACCCTGACCCCTCCTTACACTGCTGCCATCAGGTGCTCCCCGGAGGCCAATTTGGGACTAAGGACCTGGCTTTAGGCCAACAGGCAGGGCCCACTGGATAACTCCCTCCTGGGCACAGCACCCACTGCCAGTGGGGCGTCATAGCACTGTGGGGGTCATGCTTCCTTAGTGGAAGCAGAGACCTCCACCCTCATCTGGCCAAATATACCCACTCTCACCACAACATATACCATTGGAGGTCATGGCACTGGCATTAAATACTTAAGACCCTATGGGGATAGATCCCCGCGCCCAGTCCTGGAAGCCCATGGCCCCAAGGGAAATGGGGAGTCCTGGACCTCACTGGGGAGGGGAGGCGGGCTGAGGGGCTATGGCGCTGTCATGTGATGATGAAGAGAAGGGGCTGGAGGAGAGCGATGTGGGTGGGGTGGCCAGAGGCCAACCAAGGAAAGGGGTGGACCACGGATGTGCCTGGAGCCCAGCTGGAAATGTTCTAGCCAAAAAAGTTTGCTGAGAACCATCGTGTCTTTTTTTTTTGCTGGAACATTTCTGGTTGTGCTTCTGCCTCTCACCATGTGGGATTCAATGAAGGGCAGGGGTGGAGGGGTGGGATGGGGGCTGGAACCCCTCATGCTACCAGACACCAGATGCAACAGCCCTTCCTCTGGAGGTACCCACAGGCAGTCACCAAGGAGGGGGCAGAGAGCAGGCCCTGCCCCCTAATCTCCCTCCCACAGGACCCTGCACCCCAGCCTCCCGATCTTGAGCTTTGCCACTCATTCATTCACTCCTCTCATCCCTCACTCACCTGCCTCAGGCCACTCTGACCACTGCTGCCCCCGATCTCCAGGAGAACTCTTGCTCATCCCTTTGGGCCAGCCCCATGCACCAGGGACTTCCACCCCAGACACAGCCAGATTCTTCCCTGGATACCCTCCCCAACCTCATCCTGGCTCCTGCCTCTGCACCTTTGCAAGGTTGTTCAGGGACCAGGAATGCCGGCCCATCTCTTCAGGAAGTGCCCAGGGTGCCCTGGCCCCCATGGCTCTGTGCCCTGTCTGTCCTTCTCGGCCTCCCTGCCCCCTGTCCTTGCACTTCACTCCTTTGTGCTGCTGTTTCTTGGCCAGTTTGCTCTGTACAGCTCCTGTGTAGAAAAGTAGATCTAACGGGCTTGAGGGTACCCAGCTCCACAGAGGGGCAGGACCTTAAAGGTGCAGCAGGCACTGGAGCTCTGGGCCCCACTGCAGGCCATGTTGTGAAGTTCTCTAGCCTGGGCTGTATCTCTTCGGGCCCCTGCAGTCCCAGCGCAGCAGGCTCAGGTCCCCAGCAGCTGTGCTTAGCCTCTGCACACAGCTCCAGCTCCCACCCTCCTCCCTCGTCTCTCCTCCCTCAGGGCCCAGCCCCTCCCTTCCCAGGCCTCTTCACACTGGGGGCAGCCAAAGAGGCAATGAGGAGCTGGAGAGCCCTGTAGCTAACTAGGGGTGGGGGTGGAGAGAGCCATCAAGGGGGGCTCTGGGAAGGCTGTCCTCAGGGTAGGGGGGATGTCTGTCCATTCTGGAAAATAGCATCAGCGCTTCTAGTGCCTGTCACCATGGTGACCTGAGGACAGGAACAATCAGAGGGACAGTATCTGTGCACAGAAGGCTTGGAAGTGGTTGGTTGGGAGTTGGTAGGGACACTGGATGCCTTGCAGGTCTCTGAGTAGAGGGTGCTGGTCCTTTCCTCACCACTGCACGGCCCCAGCTTGGGACTGGCCATCTCAAGGCGCACAAGGGCAGGCCCCAGAGGGCCCCCTTCCTCAACTAGAACATCCTCTTCTTGAGGAATTGCACTGGGGAGATACAGTGAGACAGAGTGACAAAGACAGAGGGATGGAGAGAGAGATTCACAGTGGTTGAGAGCTCTCTTGTGTTGCCAGGTGACCTTACTGAAATTGGGAGGTTTGGGAAACTGACCTTCAGCTTCACATGTAAATGGATGAATTAGAAATAGGACTCTAACACAGTTGGGAAGGGGTCTTCCCAAAAGGCATGTCAGCTTCTATTGCAGCCTAAGGGCAGAGAGCTACCCATCACAGGGAGGCTGGGCCAGAGGGAGGCAGGTGATGGATGAGGGACTCACTTCCCTGAGCCAGTTCTGTGTTTCTTAATTCGAGCTTTTTCTCCAATCTGTCTCACTGGTGTTCTAAATGGGAGAAAGATGAAGCCAGCAGGGAGTGTTTAGTGTTTGCATGTGGCAGGGCTGTGCCTGTGTTTTTCTAAAAGGCTTTGTTAGGAGATGCTGATTGTCTTAGTTTCCTAGTGCTGCTGTAACAGAAATGCCACACGTGGATGAATTTAACAAACAAATTTATTTTCTCACAGTTCAGAAGGCTACAAGTCCAAATTCAGGGCACCAGCTCTAGGAGAAGGCTTTCTCTCTGTCGGCTCTGGGGGAAAATCCTTGTCTCAGCTTCTCTAGTGTTCTTTTTGGCATTCCTTAGAATCTCCACGTGGCATCTAGTGTTCTTCCATTTGTGCTTGCTTGTTCTATGGCTCATCTGTTCTTTTTATATCTCAAAAGTGGTTACATTTAAGACACATCCTACACTGATAGGGTCTTATTAACATAACAAACCCTATTCCCAAATGGGAATACATCCACAGGTATAGAGGTTAGGATTCCAACACATATTTTTGGGGGACACAATTCAATCCATTAAACTGATGAATGAATGAAGTTCACCAAGTCTGGCCAATAACATGGGTGAACCCCCCATCCTGGAGTGGGGTCTGAGAAAGAAAGGACAGCAGGTGGCTGGGGGTGCCCAAGAAGGAGGTGTCAGTATGCACATGTGGCTCAGGGAGCTAGCGTGTTCTTGCCTGGAGCACAGCATTTCCCTTCACTCATTGATATATTGACTCATTGTCTCATCATTAATTCACTCATTCACTCATTCATTCCATTCTCACTGAACATCATCTATGTGGCAGACCCTACACTATGTGCTAGGGCCTTTGGAGGTCATCCTGTCCCTTATCCAGTCTCATGAAAGCCTGTTACTAAAGCATTGTGGATGCTGCCAGGTCTGGATCATGTAAAAGTAAGTGGGCAAGGAGACAGGTATCTGATAAAGAATGCTGGCCAGCTGTGAGCTCCTCACCAGCAGGCCCTGCTTCCTCCATCCTCATGTCTGCATCATCAAGCCCACTCCATCCAGGCACGGCATCCAGGTGCTCAGTAGCTACTGTTGAATGCACACCATTACCTATCTCAGATACCCACATCTCCAGTTCTGAGAGAGACACCCGTAGAGGCAGTCCTGCAGAGAGTCAGGGCAGAGATCCATTGAAGGTGGTTGGAATGGGCATGGGAACGCTACCCTGAGTTCTAATCCCACCTCTATCCCCCTGAGCTTCTGATCTATTTCCTTATCTGTCATGTGAGGATGGGTAATCCAGTGTTAAATCTACAAACATATATTGAGCTCTCAGTTGAACACTGAGGCTCTGAAGATGAATAAGGTCCAGACTCTGCCCTCATGGAACTGAAGTCAGTTGTGTTAGTCATCTGTTGCTGTGTAACAAATTATCTGAAAACTTCACAGCTTAAAACAATACACATTTATTTATTATCTCATAGTTTCTATGGGTCAGGAATCTGGGTTCAACATAGCTCAGTGCCTCTGGTTCCAGATCCCCAACAGAGATGTAGTCAAACTGTCAGCCAGGGTTGCTGCCATCTCAAGGCTTAACTGGGGATGGTGAATCCACTTCCAACCTCACTCATGAACTTGCTGGCAAGAAGCTGCAGTTCCTTGCTGGCTGGTGGCTGGAGACCTCCATTTTCACCACAGGGGCCTCTCCATACGCTACCTGAGTGCCCTCATGACGTGACAACTGGTTTTCCCCAGAGCAGGTGGTCAGAGAGAGAGAGAGCCCAAGATAGAAGCCACAGGGTCTTTTATAACCTAATCTCAGAAGTGACACACCATCACCTCTGCCATAAGCTATTGGTCGTACAGACCAATCCTGAGACAACATGGACTACTCAAGGGTGTGAATACCAGGAGATGGAGATCCTTGGAGGCCATCTTAGAGGCTTTCTACCATACCAGTTAAGTCTCAGCCAAATTGAAAGTATACTTATTGTTGCAGCTGTTGTGATCACAGGCCACTGTGGACAGTTAGTTGGCATCAAGGATAGGGCTTCAGTCTCTCTCTACTGCAGGCTTTAGCCCCGGCCAGTTACAGGTGCATGGTGGTGGTAGTGGGTGATTGGAGAGGCTCCCAGCACCTGAAGGGGTCACTTGAGATGAGCATGTGGGCCAAAGCAAGGGAGGAGAGGGCATTGGAGGGCTCACCTGCTCCCCACCTCATCCAGCCATCCTCTCCACCCCACGGCCCTGTCACTGTGCTATTTGGGTGTCTGTGTCCTGGCTGGGACATGGAGGCAGGCTGAGACAGTGTGCTTGGCACATGGGGAGGGAGCAAACTGGTGAGGATTGTAATATGGCCATAATGATGGGGGCCTCTGTCTAAGGGAGAGTTGGGCGATTCAAGGTAGGTTTCCTGCCATCTATTCCCCAATGCCCCTGGACCAGCCTAGTTCTATCCCTGCTAGAAAACTTGGTTTGGGGCCAGGCAAGGAGAGGGGCTTAGAGGCCCCAGGCATGGAGAGGCCTCTGGATGTGCCTCTGGCCTGCCAGCCCTTCTCCCCTCTCTCTCTTTCCCTCTCTCCTCTTAGGTGTTCCCCTGCTGTTTGTTATTCCCTGGGGCATCGTCAAGTACCTCTATGAGGATGAGGGGTGAGTGTCTGGCTCCAAGGGGGCTGGGTGTGTGAAGGTCCCCGATTCTCAAAGCCCATGGGATTCCTTAGCCCCTGGGCATGTGGCTCCCACCCTAAACGGAGGGGCCAGGAGCCTAATGTACGAATCTAGTTCTTGAATCCCCCTCTCCCTGGGGCTTGTATGATTACAAGTGTGGCTGTATCTATGGGTACATGCTGCCCTCCTGCAGGTTTTTCTGTATTATCTGTGAATGCAATGTTTACGTTATTTTGTGTATGGCACTGGGTATATACATGACTGATTGCAGGTCTATGACAGCTTGTTTGGAGGTGGTGTATCTCTCTGTGTGTAGCCATATAGTAGGACAATGTGTGTTTGTGCAGCTGTGCACATGTAGGACTCTGTGTGGGTCTGTGGACTGGTTGGTGGGGACCAGTGGCAGGTTTGTGTGGCTTTGTGTGTGTGACTTCTCATGGCCATGTGTATTTGTGCATCTCTGTGCCCACACCGTGTGCTGGGCTATCTATATGTATGTTGTTGCGTGCCATTGAGTTGATTTTTAACTCGTAGTGACCCGATGTGACAGAGTACAACTGCCCCATTGCGTTTTCTAGGCTGTAATCTTTACAAAAGCAGATTACCAGGTCTTTCTCCTGTGGAGCTGCCGGGTGGGTTTGAACCACCAACTTTTCAGTTAGCAGCCAAGCACTTAACCGTTCGCACCACAAGGAGTGGATGCATGTGAGCGTCTCTTCCTCCCCAGTTGCTGGACCAGGAACTCAAACATGAACTATTGGCTCATTATCCGGCTGCCCATTCTCTTTGCTATTGGGGTGAGTGACTGCGTTGGGGGGTGGGAGTGGGAGTTATGGTGGGCCTGGGGTGGTGCTAGGGAAAGACTTGGGTAGAGTGGGCATCATGAGAGGGCCCCCAGCCACTGCCCATCTGTCCTGCAGGTGAACTTCCTCATCTTTGTCCGGGTCATCTGCATTGTGGTGGCCAAACTAAAGGCCAATCTCATGTGCAAGACAGACATCAAGTGCAGGTGACATAACAGAGCTGGCTTTGCTGGGAACCCTCAACCCTTCCTTTCAGCGGAGAGATCATGGGGCAATGAGCTTGGGACCCTATGCAGCCCTCTTCTCCCACCCAGGCCTGGCCTAGGAGCCAAGCCTTGCCTTCAGCCCTGGACCTGGGCAGCCCCCTGGGCTTCTGGGGGGTCTTGACCTCTACTTCCTCCCCTCCAGAAAGACTGTCCCAAGTATTTGGTGTACTGAAGTGTCTATGACCCAGATGCTAGACCCTGGGGTGGGGGAGAAGGAGAAAGGGGCAGGGGTCCACGGGAGAGGTCCAGAATGACATCTTCACCCTGCCCCCTAGACTTGCCAAGTCCACGTTGACGCTCATCCCCCTGCTGGGGACACACGAGGTCATCTTTGCCTTTGTGATGGATGAGCACGCCCGGGGGACACTGCGCTTCATCAAGCTATTCACAGAGCTCTCCTTTACCTCCTTCCAGGTGACCTGACAGCCAGGGCTTGGGAAGCTCAGAGTGGGGGTGGGCCAGAGTGCAGCCTGCATCATGCAGATGGCAGGTGGAGGCCTGAGGGGACGTGGCCCTTGCCTAAGTCACATGGTTGAAGCAGAGCCAGAACTAGTATTGCCAGGTGTCCAACCTCCCAGGCCAGTCTTCTCTGTAAGTGCATTGGCCAAGACAGCTTCCTAAATGTAACCCTGGGCATCCAGCCTGGCATCGAAGCTGCCATTTACTGAGCCACTTGCTGTGGGTGGCTGGCACCCTACCAGGTGCCTTACATGTTGTGCATTTAATGCTCACAGAACCCCAGGAGGTTGCAGGCTTATTCCCATTTTAGAGATAAGGAAACTAATATCTTGGAGACATTAAAATAATATTTGAAGGGTCCCATAGTTCCAAAGGAAACCCTGGTGGTGTAGTGGTTAAGAGCTATGGATGCTAACCAAAAGGTCAGCAGTTCACATCCAACAGGTGCTCCTTGGGAATCCTATGGGGCAGTTCTACTCTGTCCTAGACGGTTGCTATAAGTCGGAATCGACTCGACAGCAATGGGTTTGGTTTTTTGTTTATATATGTATATGGAGCTCTGGTGGTGCAGTGGTTAAGTGCTACAGCTGCTGACCAAAAGGTCAGCAGTTTAAATCTAGTTTGAGTCCACCCGTAGAAATCCTATGGGGCAGTTCTACTCTGTCCTATAGGGTCACTATGTGTTGGAATCCAAAACCAAGAATTGATCCTCTCCTCTAGAACAGGTGATGTTGAGGGTGTGCGAGTATCATTGGGGGTATAAAATAATAAGAATTTGGTCCCATCCCCTCAGGAGGGTTATGGGATGTATGTGCACACACACACAGATAAAAAGAATGCAGTTCCATGGGACTGAGTCTACTGAGTCAACAAATGGGGTTGGGGTGGGAGGAAATTCCCCAAGGTCAGAGGCTGGGGTCTTGATCCCATTAGGCCTCCTCAAGGAAAGGGTGGTTGTACAGCTTTTGCAGTATCTGAGCAAGGGCCCTCTTGTTCCTCCAGAAAGGAAGTGAGGAGGAGCCCACCATCCCCATCTCTGGGTTTGCAAGGGCTGCCCAATTTGAGAAGGGGGTGTTGGGACTGGAATCCCGAGGAGCTTCAGACCAGAGCTGCTTGCAGGGCTCCTCCTTCCTGCTCCCTCCCTGCTGACATGCCTCTTGCTTTCAGGGGCTGATGGTGGCCATCTTGTACTGCTTTGTCAACAATGAGGTAAGGCCTGAGAGGGGATGGTAGTGGGCTGTCCTTGGTGGGCTGATGCTACCATTGCTATTCTGGAGTTGTGCAATGAAGGATTTCCATCAGTCCTTTCAGCTGAAACCCCTCCCCACTCACCCCACTGAGGCACTAGAGTTTGAGGAGGCATCTTGACCATATATTGTTTTCTGTGCATGGGTCTCTCTCTCTCACACATGCACGTGTGTGTGTGTGTGTGTGTGTGTGTGTGTATGGTGCAGGCATACCCTAATGATGGCAGCGGCTGTGAGGGTGGGGAAGACCCAGCCTTATGTTAAGGGGGTCCTGAGTAAACTCTAGGGTGGTGGAGACTATCTGTTACGAGGGAATTCAACACACACATGCCCAAGCCACATACTTGGGGGCTTTAATGATCACTATCTCATTTAATTTTCACCCCTCCCTCAAAAAAACCCTGCTAAAATTCTGATTTCAGTATTCCCATTTTCACACATGAGAACATTAGAGGTCAGAGAGAGTGAGAAACTTGCCCCAGATTTGGCCTGGAAAATAGTAGCAGATGTGGACAACAGCCTTTTGCTGTGGGTGTGGGGGAAGCTGGTGGAGCACTGGGTGGGAACCTCAGCATTTTGGGGAATTTGTGGATGGCTCAAAGAAGCAATGTGATGTAGCAGAAAAGATGCAAGCATGTGGGCTTTGGTGTCAGACCTCTCTGCTCCAGTCCAGTCCACATCACTTAATGTGTGGCTTTGGGCAAGTCATACTCTCTCTCTGAACTTCAGTTTCCTCATCTGTAAAATGGGGGCAATAAAGCCCACTTATGAGATTGTTGTCAGGGTGAAATGAGCTAAAGCATGAAAAGGTGCACCCAGCGTGGGAAGCAGGAGCTGAGAACGGGTGGGCTACTGAAGGCTCACCTCAGCCCCTCACAGCTGCCACTTGGCATGAAGAAACATGCATACTGTCTCCTGGGCACTCAATAAGCAATAGGTAAAGCAATTATGAGGAGCCCTGGTTTCACAATGGTTAAGTGCTTGGCTGCTAACCGAAAGGTCGGCAGTTTGAACCCACCAGCGGCTCTGCAGGAGAGAAGACCTGTCGATTTGTTCCAGTAAAGATTACAGCCTAGGAAACCCTGTGGGGCAGTTCTACTCTGTCCTGTAGGGTTGCTATGAGTCTGAATGGACTTGACAGCACACAACAATGTAGCAATTATGTATCATTTTATATTCAGTGATTCCTGGAGATTGGGGCCTCACCTTCGGAAGACATTGTGCAGAGAAAACAAGGCCCAGCAAGAGGGAGGGAAGAGGAGGGGAATGTTCCCCTGCCCTGGAGGCTTCCCCCTGCCTCCTCTGAACTGGCCTCCTATGGGAAGGATGGTCTCAGGGCACGTCGCCTTCGGATCTCTACCAAAAACCAAAACCGAACCCGTTGCTGTCATTTCCTGAGTGATACTATGTGTATGGTGCTCAAGTGTTTTATTAAATCCAATCCCGTATAGCAGTTGTAATCCCCGTTTTACAGATGAGAAAATTAAGGTTCAACAAAGTGAAATTCATAGCCCTAATTCAATAGCTAGGAGACTTGGTGGTGCAATGGTTAAGTACTCGATAGCTAATCAAAAAGTCAGTGGTTCAAACCTACCAGTGGCTCCTTGGGAGAAAGACCTGGCAATCTTCTGTAAAGATTTCAGTCTAGGAAACCCTATGGGGCAGTTCTGCGCCATCCTCTATGGTTGGTATGAGTCGGAATTGACTCAACAGCACACAACAATTCAATAGCTAGAGAGTGGCTGAGCTATTAAGTTGAGGGGAGGGATTCCCCCGACTAATGTCCTAGGGGCTACTGGGGCTGGGGAGGTGGAGGCGGTGCCAGGCAAAGGGTGACTCATAAATGGGGTTCTGGCCGCTCCCTGGGCAGGTCTTGGAGGGCCCACCAGGTTCAGTTTGGAGAGCAGGACCCTCAGAGAGGTCTCAGGCAATAGGCTTGTCTTCAATCCACAGAGCGGCAAGTCTGTACAGCCCTGGTTCTCCCCTACGGTTGAGTCTCCTTGAAGAACTTTTATAAAAACGGAAGCATGTGTTGAAATACAAGGAACCATAGATCTGTGGGGTGAGGGGAAGGCCTTCCCTTCAGGAACTGTTGCCAGCCAGGAGGTGATGTGCTACCCGGCCTTAAGCATCCACCATTGCTTTATTCTCCAGCCCCAGTGGCGACAGGGGGGCAGGGCAGTCCCTAGTCCCCATAGTGGCCTCTAAGGAGAGGAGGCTCCCTACTGCCACTTTCTCATCTTCTTGGCCCCTGAGTCCCATTTCCCCTTTTCCCTCTCCCCTTTTCCTCAAAGCGGTGCTGTCAACAATACACTCACCCCACACCCCACTTGTATGCACACGCCTCAGCTTCCCCACCTCCACTGCCAAGAGGCTCCCCAGACCCCTGGCTGGGTCTCTTCTCCTAATTCTATTCCTTAAAGCCCGGTCTCCCAGTCACCACCCCCTCGCCCTCCACCCAAGGCTGGCCCCGCTTTGTAAGGAGACAGGGGTGGGGCCACATCCCTGCTGTGCCCTTGGCAAATACCTTGACCCCGAATCACCAGGTCACCAGCGTCATACCCCTCTGATAAGGCCTGGCTGCAGGCCCCAGCCTGCCTTTCCCATAGGGCTGATAGATCTGCCTGCTCTTTCAGGCGCATTGCCAGTTTTCTTAAACCCACCCAAGACCTCTCATGCCCTGGCTCCTCCAAGCACAAGGAAAGACACGTCACCATCATTGGGCAACAGGCACACATGGCTCCTGGGCTGAGGACTCTGTCCACAAGAGCTGTTCTCCAGACCAAGGGTTGCCATAGCAATGCCAGGCACTTGTGACCCGAGGAGAAATGATGGCCTGGTCATTGGTCATTGGTCCATCTTAGTCTGAAAGCTCTGCTGAAACCTGTTCAGCATCATAGCAACACACAAGCTTCCAATGACAGATGGGTGGTGGCTGTGCATGAGGTGCGTTAGCCAGGAATCGAACCCAGGTCTTCCACGTGGATGGTGAGAATTCTACCACTGACCCACCACTGCCCCCATATATATGCTGAGAGACCTAGACAAATATTTCAGTACTCTGCACCTCAGTTTCCTCAGAATTAAGTGGGAATTAGTAAGTAACAGGAACTACTTCATAATGTTGATGTGAAAGTTAATTAAGATCTTGTATGGAGATGTTTGGTATATAGTAAGCATACAATAAATTGTTGTTATTAATGATAATCATAATTACAGGGGCCACAACAGAGGTTCAGAAAAAGAGATGAGGGCAGAAGGGGACACTATGGGTCAGCACTCTGAGAAGTCCTGGTTCTGTCCAATTCTCTATTGGTATCCATGAAATCTCTTCAGTCACTGAGGTGGCTTCCCATGGATGTGCCTCAGTTTACCATCTTCCCCCCATCGCCACAACCCCACAGTTGAAGGGCTGTGAGACAAGATAGGCTGCACAATTAGGGGCAACTACCAGCCTCGGCATCCCCATCCCAGCTGCCAGCACACGCTCGGGCACGCTCAGGGTGGCCATCGGTGGTGTCTGTTCAGCCTCCCTCCCCCGCCTAAGCCTGGGCTCGGTGACGCTGCCCCATGATACTGGGGCCGTCCTGGCAGGCAGGCTCTGGCCGACCTCAGCTCAGAAAAAGTTCTTTTAAGGAATGGCATGCGCCCACGCCAGCATCTTGCTGGGCTCAGCAAGATGAATGACAGCCCTTGTAGAAGGAGGAGGAGAGGAGGGCGGTTTGCACAGGGGCTGCTGGGGGGAGGGGTGATTGGCAGCGAGCCGCTTACCCACAGCTGCTGGCAGCTGGCCTCCTGGCAGCTGGGGGAGGTGGGGAGCCTGAGAGGGAGAGTCCAGGCCCAACATTCCAGTGAGGGAAGGTCCAGGGAGGAGGGGAGGTGGTGGAGTAGCAAACCTATGGAAGCCTCCCCCAGAGGAGCACTCCGGACCCCTCAGAACTAGATATGCAGGTGCCAGGAGTCCCCTCTCATGTACAAGAATCTCTGGCCATCACAGGGAGCCACAGCCCTGCTACAACCCCTCAAGTGACTGGGGATCCGCCATGTTTCTTGGACGTGTATCTTACTGCCCCAACAATGTGGTCCCCAAGCATCTTGAGAAGACTCTTCCTGGTGAGCCAGGCTAGAGCTCAGCCCAGCAGGGATTCTGGGTGACTGGTCTCACCTGGGCTGCACCCACCATGGTCACCACAGAGTCTCCCTGGGTGGGCTTAGCTCAGATCTAGGCTGAGAAGCCCTTGCCTGTAGCCCCCCTCCTCACTACTGGCCCCAGTCCTTCCTTCACTCCTTCCTCCCCTGTGAAGGGCCTGAATGAAAGCCCTAGCTCAAACTGGAAGAGTGCTCTCCAAAGTCAGATTCTCTCTTCTCTTCTCCCTCCATCTCCCATCTCCCTGCCTCTTTCTTCCGATAAATAATACTGTGATGGACTGTAAAAGGTACTTAGCTGAGTCACAGAGTTTAGAGATGGAAAAGACCAATTAGGTCATCAAGCCCATCTCTCTCTCGAGAAGAGGCAGAAAATAGGAGACAACAATAAACAATTTTATTGGGATATTAATTTAGGCGCCCGGAGGCCTTGACTTGTATCTCTCAATATAATGCAGTGGATTTTTTTCCCTTCCCCACTAATGTAATAATGGGGCCATTTTGTGGGCAGTTCGTTTGCATGATGGCTTTTGCTTCCCTCCTTTTTCCCTCGGAAGGTCCAGATGGAGTTTCGGAAGAGCTGGGAGCGCTGGCGGCTGGAGCACCTGCACATCCAGAGGGACAGCAGCATGAAGCCCCTCAAGTGTCCCACCACCAGCCTGAGCAGTGGGGGCACCGTGGCCAGTAGTGTGTACACAGCCACCTGCCAGGCGTCCTGCAGCTAAGGCTCCAGCACCGCCCTCCCTGTGGTGCTCGCTGCTGGCTGGGCAGCCCTCCCAGGTGGGAGAGACCCTCCAGGGGAGAGGGGAAGGGAAGGCCACATCTGTGCACACGCATGCACACGTGCGCGCACACACACGCACACGCACACACGCGCCCCTGCTTTCCCTTCCCAAACCCATCAGTCAGGCAAATGGGCAGTGCCTCCCGGGACCCAGGGACACATTTTCTCAGAGGAAAAGCAGTCTGCTAATTTGATCACTGTGGCAGGAGGAGAGGAAAAATGATTGTGGCTAAAATGAGGAGGATTTCTTCCCAGAAAGCCACAAGGTCCCTTGGGTTCCCCCAGACAGAGCAGCAAATCAACCCCAGACTCAAACTCAAGGTCAATGGCTTACTAGGGGGCTTGGGGCTTGCAAGAGGAGGCAGTTCTGAAAGAGGCCGATAGAACCTCAGCCACACGCAGAGCTTGGGTAATGAGAGCCGACCCTGCTTGCCTCCGGTTGGGGTCACCACCCTCATCTGCCTCCTCATTAATGGAAGCTGTTTATGCATCTGGGTTGCTTGTTTCCCTAGTCTTGCCCCCTTATCTCACTACTCAACTTCTCCTAGGGGGTGTTCATTTGGGTCACTGCCAGCAGCCAGTTCAGCAAGTGGCTGCAGGTGGTGTTGAGACTAAGCATTGAGAAGATGCCTGTAGATTTCCTTTGCTGGTGCCCGCTTCTCCCCTGGGGTATTTGAGTTGCCTTGGTGTCTGTTTCCACCATGCCCCAGAACCCAGGGAACCAGGCCAGGCCCTCCACCAAGGGGCCCAGCCCTGGGGTATGAGCTCTGAATTCTGTTCTAAAGAGGCCCAACAATCCTCTGGGGTTTGCCAGGGACACTTCAGGAATGTCCACACCATGAGTGTCGATTACCTGCCACTACTGGGAACCCAGAGGACCAAGAAATCCTTTGCCTCCACCTCCTCCATGGAGATGCTTTCTATTTGTGACCAGATTCTGGATCTTGAAAGGGAGTTTGGGTGCACCCTTTAACTCTGGGGGATGTGACCAAGAAGAGCCTCTTCTGGGAAACTCCCAGTGCCCATTGTCACCATGGAGGCAGGTTCCACCTGCTCTAGGTTTCCTCCATTTGAAATTCCCCCACTTGGGAGCTTGTATGTATGTTAACAATTTGTCTTTATTGCTGTGAATAGTCCGTATGTGCAAATGTGCAATTCTGATTTCTCCTACCTGATGGGAACAAGGACTAAATCGTCACGGTTGTTGTTGCGGTGTTGTCTGGGGGAGTGGGGTAGTGATTGATTTGGCTTATCTACAATTGGAGCTAATTAATGTTTGCCCTGGCTTCAGTCTCACCCATAAATAATGGGCAGCAAAAGGCTAGATGAGAAAACCTATCAATCCCACCCCCAGCAGCAGTGAGAAAGCAGCACGTAGCAGCACTGCAGAGATGCAGACAAGAAAGGGACAGCCATCCTGGGGAGGCTGGCAACTAAGTTCATGCATGTGAAGGAAGTTTCCAGAACAGGAGAGAACTGTTGGGAATCCAGACCTCCTCAGAAGGCAGAGGGATAGGCTTCGGATGAGTTCCTTTATGAGTCCATTTCTCCCTCCTTCTGCTTTTTAAATGATGGGGGACCTTCCCCCAAAGCCTTGCACCAGACACTTCTCCTGTGCCCCTCAGAGAGGCATGTGATATGCAGTGAAAATAATAATGGGACATAAAACACATCAAGCAGAAAATTTCTTATACTCCGTCTTCAGTGAAGTGTTGTGTCTATGTTAATAGGGAAGCTGAACCTCAGGCTAAAGAAAGGAATTGACTGAGACAATATAGAGAGGTTGGAGGGGGCATTTCTGCTTCTCCAGAACAACGGCAGACTTCCCAAAAGGCATCACTCATTTGACTTTCTCTTTGAGGTAGAGGGGAGAAGATGAATAGTGTTGGGTTGATGTGGGGTATAGCTATTGTGCAAGTGTTTCCATTTGGGGTAAACTGGAAGATTCTGAGAATCACTCATACACTACACAGCAACACAAAGAGACAGACTGATACAACCTGCATGAAATAAATTGGCAAAAGGAGGAAATGTGGGGAGAAGGGCCTTAGTTAGACACCTGGGACGCTCAGACAATTTGGTTTAACCTGTAAGTAGAGTTGTCTTTCCCAGCTGGGACTGGTGATTCCTGATTTCAGTATTAAAAGCCTCCTCCAAAGCCTTTTAATACTAAGGAAGTTTTTCCTTCACCAATACATACTAGATACTGAACTGAAGGAATCTTTTCTTTGCTCCAAGACTCAGTACTATTAATATTCATTTGAATGGCAGTGTACTCACTTGAAGCTGTTCCCAAACTCTCCTAAGCTAAATATAGCTCCAACAGGTCTGGGAACTATCGAATGCAGTGTACTCTGAAATTCCACTAGCATTTACATGCCCCAAGTCTGCAGCTTGCTGAGAACACTCTTGCCCGCCTCTGACCTGGGGGTACTACTGCTGGTCGCAGGGTGTAGGCTCTGTGTGTGTTTGAGCTGTGCAGTCAGCAAGGTCCCATGACTGTTGTGAATGGCGCAAGAATTCAGCACTCTGGCCAGCTCCCCAGACTTGTTAAGGGCTTAAATCGGGTCAACTCTTGTCTTTGCCATTTCAGTCTTTGGAGCTGCGAAATCACAGAACTGAAACAAACAACTTACATTGCAAAGTTGCCTTCCCTTTAAAACGACTTTCCAGATTGCAGGCTTTATTTGTGGTTGCCTCAGGGCACCTCATGCTGAAGAACACATGTCAGTGGAGTTCTCAGAGAATCAGAGCAGGGAAGGACTTTGGGGATCCCTCCTGCCCTGATCTAGACAAGTGAGACCCACAGAGGTGACTTGCCGGCTAGATAGTGGCTGACCTGGGCCAGGACCCCGGCCTAATCCTGGCTTCCAGTCCAATGAGGTCTCTAGGAAGAATAGGTGCAAAGTACACATGGCCATTCAAGATACTCCGAGTAAAAATTACCAGTGTTGTCTGGACTATTCTCAAAAGAGGAAACACAATAAAGATGTCTGCTGGTGAAGGTACCATCTCCTCCGTGGTTGATACTGGTGAGAAGAGGAGAAAGGTGTGCTTTGCTATTTCTGCTATAGTACCTCATCCACTCTTGTCTTAAAATTAAGCAATGAAATGCTTCCGAGCACACATATGCATAGAAACAGGGATTGAGCCATTTTGAAGAGCAAATCCAGCGCTCTTTCAATGGGTTGGCTTAATTTTTTCCCTGCTGCATCTATGTTCGCCTGAGCAGTTGTGCTTTTATCCACACCAAGTGGACTAAAAGAACCTAAAAGAAAGCCCTGAACCTCCCCTTGGCCACTCTGGTACTTCCTAAAGTTGCAGAAGACTAGCAAACTGGGCAACTGTAGCCTAGCAAAGATGGCACAGTCACCACGAAGGGCAAACAGGGAGAGTCAGTTCACATCCAGGCTCTGAAAAGCACGGTTACCCTCATCAGTGTTGGCTACGTTTCAGCAGCTCACGGAGAGGAGACCTCCCTTCTCCGTCCCCTCCACCCCCCTCCTGCTGTCTACCACAAGGAAATAAGGCTTTTTCTTATGATTATTTTTTGGTCCTGTGCATAGCAGTATAAAGTTAGGAGATGATGAATCCGGAATCACGACACCCACTGTGAAGGTCATGGTACCGCACAGCCAAGGGCGAGGATGGTTGGGAGCTTGGGTGGTAGATGCTTCCTCTCCATGCGCAGACAGGGCTCCCATTATTGCTAATGCCTGCGACGTGCTCAGGGAAGGCAAAATATATTCCAGAGGTTTATTTCCCCTCCGCTGAATTGATTCTAATCTGTGCTGACCCTGCTTTTGGCTTCTATGAGGCAAACTATAAAAATCTACAAATAAAATGTCAGCTTACTGTACTAAGACAGCTATGTGGATAACATGGTAAATATTCAACAGAAACCAAATTAGTATCAACTCTGTCTAATTCTTTTCCTTTTCATAGCTGGAGTAAGTTCTCTTGGGAAAGAAAATAGCCCAATATGGGAAACTTCTGCAAACGACATTACCATGCCCCCCCCCACAGTGTTCCCAGCTCTCTGTCCCTTCTGAAGGGCGACATCAGCAAGTGTCATGAAGCAGTATGATTTCAAACACTTAACGCCACAGTGTGTCTACAGTGTCTGTAATTACTTCTGCTCTGTCAATGGATACAGATTGGCAGGAACCAGATAAGTGTAATTATTTTCCAGTTAGCTCCCCAAAATCTCTTGGACTTCACCTATATCTGAGTCCTTCAGAGGGGAAAGTTTTCTCTCCTCCCCTTTGGCCATTTTAGCCACTGTTTTGCAGGACTTCATCTAGCAGTGGCTGCATTTTTTCTTCTAATGCATCACCCCTCCCTTCATGAGCTTCCTCATACTTCTCCCCGTCGCCTCAGTAAAGAGGAGACCCTGCTAGACCTGCTGTGAATGCTGTTCTCTCAGCTGTGACCAATTTGGGGGTGCAGCTGAGAGTGAGGTGCTGCCAGGGCTGAAACGATGCACCGCATGCCACATTCTGGTGAAATGAGGAGCGTTGGAGCCAGCGGCTTGGATCCTAACTTACATTGGGTTACGCAACCTTCCCTAAGGAGCTTGTCAAACTGTCAGTAATTAGTAAACCCGGACAATCTAGCATAACTAATTACCACTGTGTGAAAGCAATCCAGGGGAAGAACAAATATATAAATGAGAATGTTTGGATGTAGCCGGTAAAGAGCTTCCACCAAAGTTTGGAACATAATAACAAGTTAGGTTCTTTGTTTGGGGTGGCAGGGGAGCCATCGGGGGCTGCCGGGAAGGGGCAAAATTTGCCAAGATAGACAGGGCTGGATCTTGCCAAACAGCTCACACTTCCAAATCTGCAGTTCCTCTAAGCTTCTCCCACTAAAAATAATCATCATATCCTCAAAGCAGATAATCCTCAACATCTCATTGGCTTTAGAGGGCTTGGAAGCAGATCTTTAAATGCACCAAAAGAGAGGCGAGCCAAATTTCTCTCTTCAGTGCTCTTGGGGAATGTTTGCTCTTC